GACGGAGGGAATAGCAGGTACAGTCCCGGGACCACAGTGTTCTTGTCATAGGCATGTGGCTGGAACAGAGAGGATGCAGGGAAAGGAGTCAGAGATGATGTTCACATTTGTTTCACTTTCTTAGCTATTGGTTCATTGATTTCTCTAGAACAAATTGTGTAGGGTTGTGTGTGATCTTTTAAAGATGCTGATTTTGTTCTCCAAGTGAGATGGGAAATTAGTAGATTATTAATTGATTAAACATTTTTTGAAGATTTTGTGGCTGTCATTGTTATTGTCTTAAATAAGTTACATTATGCCTGGAAAAGCTATTTCTATCATAATCATAGCCTTCAACATCTTCAAATGTGTTATGGTAGTCAGAGTACCATTTTTTCATAAAAGATTAAGTTAAAGAGTAATAACATAAAACTAAATCACCACACTGTACCTTGGTATATGTTGTTTCAAGTGGGATATTTATTATTATTATAAACTAAGATACAATGTAACTGAATAAATAACACATATTAATTCTTTATCTACTTTGATGGTCATGACTAAAATTGTCTAACATTTGTGGTTAAGCCCACCATTAAGGGCTTTCTCCTATCATCACAAATTGGAAAGTTTGTATCTAGAGGAAAATTATCCCTAAGACCTTCCAAATTCATTCCTATTTTGAAGGTTGAGAGAGTTATTCCAATATGAAGAAGGAAAAGTCAATGTGCAATAATTGGTATGAAGAGAACATAATCTCTAGAATAGTCTGCATGCTAACTCAGGTTATCCCCTTGAACTCAGATGTTATCCACACCCCCAAGGAGTTATCATTTGCTGTCTGGTGAAGTCTTCCAGTTTCACACAGAGTCCTTTATGCCTGTCGTTAAATATCTTTGTTTTGGTGTCACCTTGTCAAGGTGCTGATCTATCTCTGAACTTAATTTGTGAAATTGTGGCATGAGCAGGAAGGAGATTCTTCTTTCTCTTTGATCTTACCCCTGGAATAAGTCATCTTATCCTTTAGCCAGTCCCACCACTGAGGGTCTTCCCTTAGGATGCTGGTGTTTGTGAACCATTAGGCACAACTGTAGTAAAAATTGTCCGTATGCAGCCATCACATACATGATCATATATTCCCACAGAATCTGGGATATATTTTTCCCACACTATTTCACTGTCAAGGGCAGGGAAAGCTGTAAAACGTAATATGTAGCAGCACTCATTTATATCAGAGATGACTCCATTTTGAGAAGAAAAATATCCCTAAACCTCACTTCAGTGCTGAACATCAGCAGCCCTTTTTAATTAGAAGAACAATGTCTTTTTTTTCTTTCTTTTTTATCATTTCCCCAGCTCCCCACTTATCCCTACCCACTAGATTCTATATTTGGGTTCTTCTCCATGCTCCCTCTTGGCACAATCTCAATCATTGCCATCTATATCATCTCTACTCTAACAAATCTCCACCATACGCTCCATGCTTAGACTCCTCACTCTCTTTCTTAATCAAAACTCCCTTGTCCCAGGTTGTTTGTTCCCCTTGTTCTGTGCTGCTTCAGAAGAATTTTAGCACATGCTTATATGTTAATATATGCAAACAGTATAATTTATTACCTACCCCACCAGCAAATAATATTGATATTTAGATTATAACTACCCAAATGGGTGTTGCCAATGCTGAGAAATTTCAGATAAATCTGCAGAAATAATAATAATAAATATCCCACTTGAAACAATATTCTGCAAATCCTATAAGTGGTGGCTGATATATCAGAAGTAACACATTACTGCACCACACGGATGATGGTCCTGTTGTCACACAAGCAAATGACCAGCATGCTTTGTACTCCTCTGGTCTAATTTGCATTTCCTCAAGGAGGTTATAGCATGGTGTCTGAACAAGTTAGAGAGGCTAGAATTAAGTCATGGTAACACCCTTCTACAGTGAATGTGTCTTATGCTGGGGAAAAAAATGAAAGCAGCAGGTGGTGAAAGGTCACGTTGGATAAGCTGCAATGGATGGGCCACACAGAAGAGTCTCAGTGGGCCCTGTGGTGCCATGCTTGGGCTTTAGGCAGTGAGGCAGATCTGACTTAGGTTGCCCTTGTGAGTACCAAGTTCTGAAACTGCTATTGTTTTGATGAAAAGAGCCCCGTGGATTGTTTTTGATCTGCATATTAACAAAGAAGAGAAAGACAGCCAGGTTATTTCTTAGAAAGAACAAGAAAGAAATTTTCCCTTGGAAATGTGCAAGATCCATCTGTGCCAGAAACACACACACACACACACACCCTTTCATCCACTCTGTAGTTTGCTTTCTTTTATTCCTTAGTATACATGAATATGTGAAAACACACAACACTCAGACATGCAGCCTGATCGAGTGATAATCTCTTATAATGTGCTTCTATTTAAAGCAACAAACAGATGGAGGGTTTATGAGCAAGGCTGGTAAAAGTAAAAGCAAATGATTGCAATAGTTGTACTTTTAATAGGATTCCCCCACAATCTAAAACATTATTCCCCATGGAACAAATTGTTCTATAAAATTCTGTTACTTAGGAGAGATACCCACCATGACATTGCTGAGGCAACAGAAAACCCCAGAATGACTGTGATTGTGGGGGTCTCTCCACTCAGACCAGTGTCCCGGGGGAAGGAAGATGGAGCTGTCAGGCACCATGATCCCCAAAGAACAAGCCCAGTGGAATAGGGTAAAAGGAAGAAAGAAAAAAAAAGTGCAGAGTGGGTATGAAATATGTCTGAGCTTTGATTGAATTTATTACCTTAATTTTCTACTTTGAAAAACAAGGTTTGGGAAATTCCTTCAGATTTAAGATAAACATGCAACACGGCTTCCTCCCCTTCCTGATGCAGACCAAAGTCGAGCACAGCAGATCTTGCTTAACAAACAGTGGAATTGTAAACAACCCAACACTAATTCATTATCATTATCCCTGCTTACGAGAAACAAAACTCAACTATAATTCTATCAATAAGATGAATATACCACAGTGATGGCCTTTATGTAAATTATAATTAAAGCTAATCTTAATTAAAGTTATTACACCATTCTGGAAGAAAATAAACAACCCAAAGAGAGGGAAACAATGTGGTCAATAACTCACTCCAAAAATATTTCTTTTTTTTGCCTCCAAAAGCTCACATGGAGGGAGACATTCCTGCACATGATACAAATGGTTCTGACATTAAGAAAAGTAAACAAGTAAGAAAAATAAAGATGGAAAAATTCTGTGGTCAGTTCACAAGTGCTTTTTTATTGTTTGAGGCAGGGTTAAAGCCTTTTATAAAGACAAGGATATATGTGCCGCTAGATTGGATATGACATCAGACTAGTCTAGCTGCCCTTGCACAGAGCTCTGCTGCCCATAATATGCCACGGATGAAGCCCGTGCTGATGCTTCTAAACAAAGAACCAGGGTGGGACCTAATGCAGCTAATTTAAAGCATTATCCCAAAGCTGTTTTGTAGATCAAACAGAGAGAAGGTACTCAGCTCTGGTTATTAATGGATTGGAGAGATGAAGGCAAACATTCAATAATCTCTAATTATTAATGGTCTCAAGGATTTTAATGTTAACTGGTCTGAACAGCTGATTAATGGAGGTTGTGTAATCTACAAGCGGGACTCCTGCCAGCCTCAATACATGTCATTCCAGGGCTGTGTTGACTCAGTAGGCCAGAGGCTATGTAAACGGAGTCGAGTCGAGAAAGGAAGTTCTTCTGGGGCAGCTGGGGGATTCTGAGTCCCCAAAGACTTTCACAATAGCAACTCTCTAGTAACCCACTTGGTATCTGTAACTTTGGTTCTCCTCTAGACTTTGTTGTCCCAGGACCATGGACACCTTGTCTAAATGCAAGAGGCAAAAATAAGTGTTAAACCAGTCTTTCACACATTTTTGAGGGTGATTTGACTTGTGAACCAGGAAGTTCAAAGAAAGGCTAGTCACCCGAGTAGCGTGATCATGGGTATTTTCTTTGTGACATTAATGCTAGAACATAGCCAAGGATGCACAAAGACGTAGCAACATCTCAAAAGCTATGCATCTAAATTCTGAGAGGTCCAGAGAAAAACATGACATTCAAAAGGTCTACACTGTCTATAAAAGCTGTCGGGTCTGGTGGGTATTTTCTACAGTCTTCATTTTGATTTTCAACCCCCTGACCCATCACATGCCTTCATCACCTCACTACTTTTAAATGGCACTCAAAGGAGCAAGCCAGCCCATGCACAATGAGGGCCGTAGGCACAGTGAAGAAGGGCGTGGTTAAAAAAGAGTCCCTGGTGCAACCAAGGGTGTTGGGAAGGATGCCTCATCCTACATCCTATTCAGGAGAGAAGATTTGAAAATGAATGAAGTAAGATAAAGGCCATGTTTTTGTAGTCCGAGGTTTAGGAAAAGCTATTTGATGTAGAGATTGTAACTACCAGAATCTAGCTGTCAATGTATGACCTGGCTGAGAAGTTATCCCTCTGTTCTCTGAAAAACTGCAAATGGAAATGCATGATGCTAAAGGTTGGGGAGCAGTGAGGGAGGAGGGACCTGTACCTATGCAGAACATAAAGGCTAAGATTTAAGGGGGAAAAGGGAGAGCATCCTCCCCCTAACTGTGACAATCCCACTAAAAATAAACCCACAGCACAATGATGTCAGAGGGGTCTTGACTCAGTAGGCAAGCTGAAGACAGTCTCTCTCACTAGATGGCAGTCACTGAGCATGCTCAGGGAGGCCCCAGGTGTGACCTCTGCTCCCCTGTGAGCAGTGGAGGGACCAGGCAATCTATCATGGTGTTCATGCTGTCAACCCTGGTGCTTCGCCGCTGCTGTCTGTCACCCTGGTGGATGAGACCTGCTTAAGGGCAATCATGTCAATCTCTCTGTGACCACTCAGTCTAAGGCAGAAGGATGATCTTGACAGGCCTGGCAAAGTCAGCACAAGGTACCAAGAGCTGAAGTCACAGCCTTCCCGCAGAGATGCAACGTGGGCCATTGTTTTCTCTTTAGCTCTTTCTTTATTTTTGCTTTCCCTTTTTATTTTCATGAAATAGGCTAAGGCATACAGAACTTGGCTTCAGAGCTGGTCATCTCGGATAAACCTGTTGCCCTCTGAATTTTTCCCGTAGTAAACATAGCGACACTTCCCCAGGACTCCTGTAAATAAAAAGAAACACATCATTACAGGTGGCGCAGTTATGATGGCAGGGAGGCATAGGTGCTGAAACCCAGGCATGCAATACAATTGCGGCTCCTAGCAGTGGCAGAAATGGAAGAAGCCCCAGAAGGAAAAGACTATCTTTTTGTCCTCAGAGTTGGCATTCAAACAAAATGTCACTACTAAGCATAGGTTATGGGAAAAAGCATGTTTTCTGCATGATTTCCACACTTTAGGGACTTTGCTAATTTGGCAAATTACTCCCTAAAATACATAGCACAACACTCTCTTCTCTCCATGTTCCCTTCCTAGGTTTCCAAAGAGTGAAAAATTAAGTGTTTAAAGATGGACCTGGAGCCAGGTGTGGTGGCACCTGCCTATAATCCCAGCAGCTCAGGAGGCTGAGGCAGGAGGATCACAAGTTCAAAGCCAGCTTCAGCAAAAGCGAGGTGCTAAGCGACTAAGTGAGATCCTGTCTCTAAATAAAATATAAAATACAGCTGGGGATGTGTCTCAGTGGTTGAGTGTCCCTGAGTTCAATCCCCAGTACCCCCACAATAAAAAAAAAGAGCAGGTCCAAGAAGAAGAGATAGAACAATTTTCTCAGAAGGTGATTTCTTTGAAGTACTTCAAGCACATCCTAGATGATAAGGGAGCGAGAAGTGGTATTGACAAAATACCACATAGAAAGCGACAAGACCTCTTGACATCATCCCCTTCTCACAGGCATCAGGAACTCTATTCTAGGGTAGAATGCATTCAGTTTTCATCTTCAGTTTTACTGTATGTCGTTTGTGGCTTCATGTAAAGCTTTCCTCTCATTCAAGTAGACTGCAGGAGACTTAACTATGAAGAATACCCTTAGAATAGGGTGAAATTTTTTAACCAACTCACTATTAATTCTAAATACCTGCAAGAAATCACCTGCCATAGTTATTGTGAAAACTTTAAAGGGTTATTAAGGAAAAATAATCAGCATTTCCAAGCAAATATTTATAACTTCATTTTGCTTTTTGTTTTTTGAAATGGGCTCTCACCATGTTGCCCAGGCTGGTCTTGAAATCACGAACTCAAGTGATGCTCCAGCCTCAGTGTCCTGTGTGCTGGCACTATAAGTGAGTGCCACCCCACTTAGCTTTCATTTTGTTTCTTGTTGCTTTTTTCCTTCCAGTTTTAGATAAACTAAAACTTCAATTGCACATGGTTCTTTTAGTTCTAATGGGACTTAAATCTTGAGTGTCCAAAGTGCACATAGCTAAGAAAAAATAGCCCATAAAACATTAATTCATGAGCCACAAAATCTGCCTGTGAAAATAGCTACCTAGAAGAGCATAGTTTATTTCCATCCATGTGATAGTGTGAATTCAACTAACACCATGCTTTGTTAATTTAGGGGAAATTAGCACTTGAAATTAGCCAGGTTCTTCACATTAGAAGTTTTAAGTAGTAAATGTTTTTGAAAGTGAGAAATGCTTCTCTACTACAGAACTTTAAAGTTTGTTCTTAAATAGGGATTAAAATGACTCTTAAGGACAGGGCAGATGCTCCCTGTTTTGATGGCTTGGGGTAAATTGCTGGGGTCTGGGGATCTCTGAGTTGGAAGAGGGACAGACTGGCATTGTCTCATGCTGGCTGCCATTGTGTCCTGCCATGTTCCCATGAGCAACTTTACTGTGGCTCACTCTTCCCACTTGGCCATACTTTCTCTCTTGAGCCTCCAACCCCCAATGTCTGCTTCAGTACTGGTCTGGAACCTAGAAATACTGAGCTGGGGATGAACTCTCACTTGAGACCCTTCTTGGGGCCTAAAATATTCTTTTAGTGGTTGGAACTGAGTTGTTTTCCTTTATTGTGCGGAATTATGTAGCACCAAGGGTTGTGCTAATATTGTTGGGGATCTCAGTGGTCTGTGAGCCGGGCTGGGCCAGTCTGGCATCTCATACAGGCCTGGGTAGGAGTGCTATAGATAAATGGGACCATTCCTGGGAGATTGCCTTAAACATGACTGATTCAAATGAACCCTCAATGGAAAGATGGGGCCTAAAGATGAGAAGTTCTTTCTCCAGCACCAAGACAGCATGGATTTTAATAAAAAGAAATGGATAGGGCTGTCAGATAACATAAAGATCATCATCCTCATCTTGAGCAAAACATGAAAGGCAGACACACACATGCTGCCCACCACGGGCATGCTCTCCAGTAAAGACTCCAGTGCAGCCAGGGATGCGATTTCTTTTCTCTGCCCTCTCTCCACGGAGAGCTTCCACTCTGGATCTCGCCTAGATGCAACAGATGGAAACAGTTCTCCTGGAACGGGGTCCACAATGTGTTCTGAGACACATTCCCAGACCTTCTTTCTGGTTGGCATTGATGAAAGTCCTTTTTAAGGCCTGCCCTGTTTCTTTGGGCCTGGAAGCAAGAATGTTTATAGACATCTTGGTGAGAGAGGGCTGTTTGATGAATGCAGGAGACTGCAGCTAGGTGTCAGCACTTGGGAAATGAGGCAAGGACATGAGGTATTAATATTGTCAATGATCTCTTGACGGGAAAACAGATACCGCACTCACTGTCAGATTTAAATAGACATCAAGTGCATTAATGACAAAAGGGCAGACTTCAAACAAAGGGGCTGTGTGGTGGGGAGCCAAGTTAGTCTCTGTGCTGGCAATAACCTGATCTGAAAAGACACTGTCAGGACGAGAGACAGGCCCAGGATTGTGTGCGGTGACAGAAAACAGAGATACTGACAGAGATACCAGCGCCATAGAATGCCAGGGATACTCTCACACTGTCTGCCGTTCTAACACAAGCTGACATCACTCCCTATCACTTGGGGTCTTCTCCGCCTGCTCCTGAAGACATGATGTTTCTCCCCAAACATCATTCCAAAGCTTGCTGTGGCTGTGAAGTTCCTGGCAGCCCTGGTCTGTTGGAGCAGTGGGGTCACGGGGCCTAAGGATAACCTGAGTCAGTCTAAATCTGGGCTTTGCAGGAGGCACACGCTTGTTCTCACTGATATCTCTGCTACTTGAGGTGATCAGAGAGGGCCAATGTGTGAGGAGCTGTCACCTTGAATAAAATCCTTCAAGAGAAGGCACTAGGTCCCTGGGCTGCTCCAGGAAGGCGGGGATGGCGTGGCAGCCAAAAATGAAACCCAGCTGCTGGTGCTCACCAGAGGAGAAAGGTGCTCCAGCTAGTGACAGTTAAATTTGGTTGAAATTTTTGCACTGGAGCCATCTACCATGATTGAAATTATGCAAGCTGTTGCCTCTCTTGAGTTTCCTACCCCAGCTCACAGTGGGGATGTGATTACCCCCAAAATGCAACTTTTGTACTCAAAAATAAATAAAAAATATTAACAAGGGGGAGGCAAACAACAGCCTAGCACAGTCCCATGTGTGGCCACAGGACTTTCATTTATCATGAAGGTTTTTTTTTTTTTTCCCTGAAATAATAGGCTGTGCTCATAAATTAAGTGAGGTGACTTTATGGGTTGCTCTCTTCTGGCTGTCCCCCCAGCCCTCCTTCTCCACCATGGCAACTGCCAGACGCTGTGAAAATTACAGAGGGAACCGTCTGCCTGCAAAGAGCATTTTCTCAGGGAGGTGCTCTGAGGCTGAAATTTGGGAACCCGCTGGTTGTGACCCAGTAGGCCACGGTTTCTGTGCACATCTGCAATGGATTCACTTGTTTGTATCTTCTCAAACTATAACATCTTAGAACTGGAGGGGGAACAACACATTTAACAGCATATGTAGTGTTTTTAATTAAAATATCTGGCTTTGGCCATAATAAGTGGAGCGGGCCTGCCATGCATCAGGCCAACACGCAGATGTCTGCGCAGGGTTTCTTTTCAGGGGCCCTGAAAAATGACAGTGCGCCATCCCCGGGGGAATCCTCTCCTGCCAAATGAGACTCCTAATTTTTCTTAAGTAGCCAGCTTTCCCATCACCATAAGCTCTTAAAGCTATAATTATGAAAAAAATGTATTGGGAAGAATATGTTTTAAAGAGGCCTTTTATCTTTTCAATGTTCCCCCCCTCTGGAACGGATGTTCTAATTATGCGAGTTGAGTTACGACCTTGGGGCTGCCTAAGGGGGTGGGAATGAGCCCCTTTTCTTGGATGCAAGGTGGTGACCATTCCAGAGACTTGGCTGGGGGAAACCTGAGTGTCCGGGGAAGAGTTCTTGCACCCACCCCTGAATCTGAATCTGGCACAGCCTCACACTTCCACCCTAAGAGGTGGTGGAGGAAAAGTGGTATTTCAATCCAGCCCTGTTCTTCATGGTCTTTTGACTGGGCACACCTCGCATACCCTCACTATACCCTCACTGGACTGGTATCTCCACATGTAAAATGGGGACAAAGAAACTCTTGAAGGTCTGTTTTAGTTCTGAAATAGACGATTAGCTTTTTGAAATGTTCCCCTTAGGGACACAAGGACGGTAGGTGCAATACTGCCCCATAAAGGAGGCAGATCCCATGGTCTGTGGATCCACAATTTGATTTGGACTGAGCTCTTGAAACCCATCAAATACACAGAACCATATCATAGCCCAGTCATCTGGGGGGGGGGGGGGGGAGGACTTCAAAATCTCCAAGAAAAAAGGTTTTCACCAACTTCCTGACAACCTGTTTGACATACAGCTGAAGGGTTGTCCCACATCCTGCTATCTCTGTCACCAGACCAAGTCTCACAACATCATGGTCAATGGAAGGAAAGCTTACCTGGCAGAGACAGTGACCTTCTGTCCACATTTCAGTGGTGGGGGTGGTGAAGAATGTGCACATACAAATATAAAGACATTTGATGACTGAGTGGAAGTTGGACAAATAATTCATATTTGCTAACTAGGGGAATTAAGTATCAATTTTATCATTACTTTTAGTTTGGGTAATCATCATTTTAAATGCCGTTATCATTATCATTTGTATGCATAGTTGTGATAATGACAAACAGATCTTGATTTGATTGTGATCACCAGGAGCTTACAATTA